CATTATTAAAAGGGCTGCAATGCCTGGCAGCTACACAAAGGTTGCTATGCAGCCCCGGGGGGCGAGGGCAGTAAATTATCTCCAAGGAGGGGTGGAGACAACAGGCTGCAGCTGCTGGGCACAGCAAGGTGGGAGTGGGAGCAGCTGAGCCCCAACAGACCGGTCCTTCACCCCCACCTAGCTCCAAGCCACTGCAGCCATCCCCAGCCCACCCAGTGGGCACCTCTATGCATGCATCTGGTGGGGCCAGGCCAGGATTCCCCCACCAGCCCCATGACAGGGGCTTTCACGCTAGGGTATGGGGCAGGTTTCAGGGTGGCAAAGCCTGGCCTCTGCTGGGCACGGGAGTGGGGGCTGCTGGGGCAAAAGGCAGGAGTCCCATGGTGCCTCTTGGTACTAGCTGGGTCCCAGCCAGCTTTGGGCAGGCTCTGAGTGCCCTCTAGCCTGGTACTGCAGATTCAGGCATTACCCAGCTCCTTTCCCCTGGGAGCAGAGCCAGCCTGAGCTGCCCCAGCCCAGACCCCAGAGCCAAGACCCGTCAACCCCTCCCAGCAGATGCAAGGATCCCCTGAAGCAACCACCGCTCCTGGCCAACTGGTTCTGCCCAAACCCAGCCAGCATCAGCCCCAAGTGCCAGAGGCTGCAGCAGCATGGGGCACTTACCAGGGAGGAGAGCCAGGAGGAGGAGGATGCCCCCCATCCTCGTGGGAAGCACTGCACCTCGAGCTGTCCCCGTCTCTAGCACCACTCACTCCGCTTGTACCTGACCTTCCTTCCGGAGCTGCAGCAAGCACGCCCCCCCGGCCACCTCTGCAAAGAGCACAAGCTTCCTGCCACAGGACCCACGTCAGCCCAGTGCTGTCTGGTTTGTGGGGGTGCAGCTCCTGGTTCCTCTGGACTATTCCCAGAAGAGGCAACAGCTTGGCCCAGAGCAGTGTGCTCTAAAACTCCCACGGTGGGTTAAGCGCACGATGCAGAGATGGGGAAACTGAGGCACAGAGAAGCGACTGTGAGCACCAAAAAGCAGGTGCTAGGAGTCCTGGGTCCCAGGTCAGCGCTTGGGCCACGCTTCTTCCCCAGCCGGCACAGACACCCAGCACTTGGCTACCAGCCCACTGCTCGAGCCCCGTGGCTTTCTCCTCTTCCCCTGGCCCAGGGAAGCTCCAACTCACTCCTGCTCCCACCAGTACCCCTTGTTGGAGGTGACTGGGACTGGACAAGCCATTCCCCACCCCCCAAGCCAATGCGGCCCTTCTAGTAACTCCCAGTACAGCTGCCCCGTCCCAGCCAGCCCTCACTGGGAGATACTGGGATCCACAAGAGCTCCCCAAGTCACCCCTTTCAGCCCATCAGCCCCAAGTGCTAGAGGCTGCAGCAGCCAACACATCTTTGCTGATCTTCCTGGCCTCTGCAAGCCCACGGGCTAGTGTGGGTGGCTGCACAACCTCAGGGCTCAACGTGAGACAAGAGGTGTTAACCAGAACAGCAAGCGGGTTGAGGAAAAGGATGCTCAAGCGACAGGAGTTTCCTTTTCTCCAGTGTAGGTGCATTCAGCAGACAACCTACACCCCTTCAGCAGACAATGCACTCTTCTGCATTTAAATATGCACTAGCTCCCTTGCACACGACTCCTGCTCCCCGTCTGTTCAGGGTCTCGCTGGGCTGCGCAGGGCTAGTCCAGTCGCTCAACAATTCTTTAGCCCAGTGGTTCACAGCCTTTTTTTGTACCAGGACCCATTTGTATACATGGATGGCCAGTCCCGACCCAGTAAATACTTTAAGTAGAAAACAGCTCCCTGGCCCTGCTCATGCCCCTCACTCCTGACCTGCTGCCTCCTGTCCACAGGCCCTAGCCCCCAGTGTGTCAGGCAGGGGGGTGGGGGGGTGGCATAGGGGTCACATGCCCCCCCAGATTTGGTAGAGCTGTGGCCTGGTGCATGAACAGCAGGCAGCAGGAGGAGGCGGGGGCAGCGAGGCTCCCCCCTGCCTGTTACTCCTGGTGCTGCTGGCAGTATGGCTGGCATGGGGGTCCCGTCCCACCACCCCACTCTGCCCTCCCGTACCGGGTCCTGCCCATGCTGGAGCTCTGCCAGCCTGCAAGGGAAAACCTGCAGTTTCCCACGTATTTCTCCTTTAAAGGAAAATCCATTTTTAAAGTTTGTTCGTGACCCTTTCATATAGTCCTGTGACCCAGTTTTGGGTCACAACCCACAGGTTGAGAAATGCTGCATTAGCCCTTTTAGTCCAACCTCCCCTTGGTCTCAAGCTGTTTCTGCTTTATGGGAGCAGACCCTGGGACTTTAGGGTTACAGACGGAGATATCGTGGGAAGGATCGAGCCGCCCAAACTCACCACAAGCCCCGGTGCCTGTTCCTGGCAGCCACGTGTGCTCACCACAGCTCCATGCTGGGCTGGCTCCAATGCAAAGCTGGGGCACCAGGGAGAGGTGGAAACCACAGCTGCGTTGTGCCTAGTCGAGGCCCCATGGGGCACAGTCAGCACCACTGAGAGGTGGCACCTTGCCCATGGCCTGCCCAGGTGGAGAGGCCAGGACACAGAGATGCTGCCCTGTGCTCCTGATCTGCAGTTCCCTGCACCTGGGAGCTATGAACCCCAGCCCCTTCCTATGCCATCAGCTCTGCCCACTGCGCTGGGCTGTCCAGGGTGGGAGAGGGAGGGAAGGGACTTCTCCCAGCCTCATAATAATCCTTAGGGATTATTAAAATGGGAATTGGAAACAAAATGGAAAGCCCTTTATAAATCCATGGTGTGTCTGCACCTGGAATACTTGCCCTGTCCTGGTCCTCACCCCTCAGACAGGAGATAGAAGAACTAGAGGATGAACACAAGGCAGCTCTTTGTCACCCAGCGTGTCATCAAAGGGTGGGACTCGTGGCCACCGGATGTGGTGGGCACTGACGTTTCAGCCAGATTCACAAAGGGGTGAGACATGTTCTCGGAGGAAAAGGGCTTCAGATGCAATTGAGCATGGGAGTGAGGGACACGGCCTCTGAATCAGAACTTCCTAGACCTTAAATGCTGGAGGCTGCAACTGAGAGAGGAACAGGGAGAAAAACCCTGGTCAGACCCAGGTCACTCTCCCTTGCAGCCTCCGTTCTCTGCCACCATGTGACACAGGCCTATTTGGATGCATAGGGTTATTGTGGGCTTGACACCCACGGAGCAGCGATTAGACCCCCGCTATTGGGGGGAGGGCTATTGGGTACGTATCAATTGATTTTGGGGGACAACTAGAGAGAAAACAGGAATGGGAGTTAGGTCATGGGTTCAAAACGAGTGCACTGAGGGATGACACTAAGGAGAGCATGCTGGGCAGTGCCCGCTTGTCCTTGAATGAGGCCAAGGAACCAGTGGATGTTGCTTGGTGAAACTGTGCCCAGAGACATGACCCAAGCAGGGGCCAGAAAATGGCTCTGCAGTACCCCAGGCTCCCGCAGCCAGAGCCTCCTCCTGGTCAGGTAGGTGCCAGCTCGGCCAGGGCCGGAAGGAGGCTGCCCAGGAGGTCCTGGGCTTTGGTGAGGGCATGCACAGGGAGTGTATCAATAAAGAGGTGAGGGGCATATTGCAGCCAAAACCTCAGCAGGAGGTTGTGGAGGCGGCAGTCTGGTGCACTCCAGGTAGGCATGTGCCAGGGTCTCCCTCTGCTCGCAAAAGGGGGCGGGTGTCAGGGGTGTCCATAAACCGTGCCAGATACACACGCCCATGGCGATGGCTTTGTGGAAGTGGCACCAGCGGACATCCCCAGTGGCTTGTGGGATTAGGATGCTGTATGGGTGTGCCCACTGCAGACTGTGTGACACAGGGTCCTGGGCAAGATGGACCCAGGGTGTGACCCAGTGCATGGCTGGGCTGATCGGAGGATGGGATGGGCTGGAGGACTGGGCCCAAAGAAACCTCATGAGGTTCAATAAAGACATGTGCAAAGTCCTGCCCTTAGGACAGAACTATCCCATGCCCCGGGGACGGGCTGCGGGTGACCTGGAGGGGACAGTGGATAATAAGATGGACGTGAGCCCACAGTGCGCCCTTTTGCCAAGTAGGCTGATGGCATCCTGGGCTGCACTGGCAGGATGGAGGGCAGCGCTTCTTCCCCTCTGTTCAGCACTGACGAGGCCACATCTGGAGTCCTGCGTCATGTTGAGCCCCGCTGCAGACAGGATGCCGACACACCGGAGCCCAGCGGAGGG